CTAAGTTGGTATTTGTAACTACCTTCCTCTACTACCCATTCTGTATTTCCTCCACCATCATCAAGCACCTCTGCAGGTCTTGGCTCTTTTCCTGGAGGAGTGACCCATACTTTCATCCCTGAAGGGTCTGGGCCATTTGTTATCCTGTCTGGATTGGGTTGTTGCAGTTTCCTGTTGACCTTAATCACAGGACATGGTCACACCAAGTCGCCCTAAGGAATCTCCTGCCTTTCAGATATAACCTTCATTACTGCCATTGTGGGAGAACAAGTCCAATTTCCCCCTGGTAGTCTGGGTCAATCACCCCTCCTAATACTATTCCTTTCTTAGCCTGCTGAGTTAAGGGCATCAGAAGCCCAAAGCGTCCAGGGGGAAGTCTTAGCTTCCAGTTCAACGGAATGTTTGTTGTCTCTCCTGGCAGAAACACTCCCTCCTCTGGAAACAAAACATCCAAGCCAGTAGAATGCGAAGTCGAGGGTACAGGAAGCAAAAATTTTCGTAGAGGGTCACCAGGGGTGATAGTGAGTGGAATCATTCCCACTTCCACCCTTTGATTCCGGGACCCATGAATCCTGGCTATAGGGGAAACTGTACCATATATTGGACAACATTCAAAGCATGCACTGCCTTCTGGAGGACCCTGCCCCAGCCCTCCAGGCTATTGCCACCTAATTGGCGCTGTAACTGTCTTTAAGAGACCATTCCATTGTTCTATCAAGCCAGCTGCTTCAGGATGGTGGGGAACATGGTAAGACCAGTGGATTCCATGACCCATCTGCACAGGCCAAATAGGAGAGTTAAAGGGAGATGTGGTGGGAATCACCACCCCTGCATCTTTCAAATCCTTGATGGTAGCACTAATTTCTGCAATCCCTCCAGGGATGCAATACTGTTTTTGTTTTACTATTTTCCCTGGCAGAGGCAATTCCAGTGGTGTCCATTTGGCCTTTCCAACAATAATAGCCCTCACTCCACAGGTCAGGGAACCAATGTGGGGATTCTGCCAATTCCTTAGTATAGCTATCCCAATTATACATTCTGGTACTGGGGAAATAACCACAGGATGAGTTCGGGGGACCACTGGACCCACTGTCAGTCGGACTTCAGCTAAAACTCCATTTATCATCTGACCTCCATAAGCCCCTACTTTAACTGGAGGGACATAATGCTTTTTAGGATCTCCTGGAATCAGTGTCAGCTCAGAACCAGTATCCAATAGGCCGCGGAATGTCTGATTATTTCCTATGAGGAAGGATGATGAGAGGCGAACAGCATAACTCTTTGGTACTGTGACAAAGTCCTTCCTCAAGGGCACCCAGCCTTCCCTTCATTCAAGGTGTTCTGGGTCTGTAAACTGTCTTAAGTCTGGATATTGGTTGACTGAGCGAGATTCTCTATTGCTGCGATCCAATACTGACTTCCTGTCATTCGTCCTAGAGCTTTTCTGCTTATACAGATCAAATAAAAACTTAGTAGGCTTCTTATGTATGTGGTCCCTGTAAACACCATGATTGATTAGCCAGTACCACAGGTCCATTCGAGTCATGCCATTGTAGGTATTGTTTTGCCTTTGCCACCCATTATGATAAGTACGCTCACCTTGTCTTTGGTAATTCATTGCTGCCACCTGACCCCTACTCCGAGGTCCTGTTACACCTATTATATACATTTAATTTATGCAATTGAGCAGCAGCGTCTCCAACTGTAAGATTCAGCATAAGGAAAAGAGCAAAAAAAAAGCTCTTCAAATGTTCTGGTGTCTCTCTCAGTACTTTCAATCTTATAAAATCAGTAAAAGCCATGTCCTCTGGGCCCTCCCATTGTGGAGGATTTGGTGTTGCATTGCGAATCCACTCAAGCATACCAATTTGCCTGAGCCTTACAATCCCTTCATCAACACTAAACCAGGGGATATCAGGTATCTCCAGCTCTCTGTCAGTAGGCCATCTTTTGATAAATACCTCAGCCAACCAATCAAATAAACTT